CACGTTAAATTGTCGGGAGACAGACTGTCCGGAGCGCACCACCCCACCTGGGTGGCGCGTCGTGCGCCTCGATCGATAACTGCACATATCAAATAAACAACTACATACACATACAAACTACACATGATATATATGTATTTTGTACAGAGTTCCGACTTTGAACATAAGATAATTATTTATTTGCAAAACCATACGAGAAAATAAAATGAAAATAACAGCCGTTTTTGATCCTAACTATGCGAAATTAATTGAAACATTGTACTGTGTAGTAATAAGTGTCTGACTATTCAGTTGGATCACCCGTCGAATAAATACTGTAAAACGTGGTAATGTCCGGTAAGGTATGGAGCCAGATGGACGCTGGCGAATTTATTTAAATCCCTTTTATTTAAATCCTGCTAAATAAAGGGGTGCAGCAATTTGACCTTCAACATCCCTCCATGCAATCCTGTCTGTATTTATCTACATTGTACAAACGAGCACCGTTTGTTTTTATGTACCCGCCGCCGCGCGCCGTCCCAGCGAGCTTCAGCGCGGTACGCGGCATCAGTCAACAAATATTGTCGACACGTGTTTAAGAAAATGGACGGAAAAGTTAATTTTCCTCTTTATATTTTGTTATTTTTGTACCGATAACAAAGTGTTGGCAAACTTTTTATTATGATTCCAACAAGTGAGTCTTAAAATGACTAGCATCGTCTTAACTACGTATATAATAAATTGTTGGACGCAGTAAATACATATGAAAAGCTGACGAGATTGCGAGAAGCCGCTACTGAACAAAAACACGTGTAACTCATGTCTCTAGAATTCTGCGACCCTTACAGACAGACAGTAAAAGGGGTTAGGTGTCAGGGAAAGCGCTAGTAAATCAATAAAACTTTTATATAAATTAAATGTACTAATAAACTAAAAAACAGTTTTCATTTTATGAACAAATTGGAGCCTCGCAGACATCGTGGGCCGTACTTATAGTGCTTAATACCCTTTCAAGAGAATTTTCTAGGAATTTTATAATACTCTCATTAAAAATATCTCCGAAGGACTTGTAGAGTGCAGATAAAATTGAAATTCAGTGAACCGTACTGAAGATATCTGAGTAATCGTTGAACTTCGATAATAAGCTCTCTCGTTAGGAGTGTATTGTCAATAACATCGCTAATGGTCCTATTTATACGCAACTTACTTGCTTCATGTCGCCACGGTAGTTTTTCATATGAAATCGTTGGCGGAGAATCAATTATATTATTCTTTTTTACTTTATTTGCTCGGTATCGTTATTACGTTTCATAATGTCAATAATAGAACTAATATGGTCGACCTACGCTTCGTAAAACGAGTTCGAAATCGATGTATTTACTGCTCCGTATAATAAAAAAAAAATTGAACCTTATTGCTGTATGGTGACAGCAGAGTAGAGTATATTTTTGTCAGTATATGCCTCTTTTCTTATTGGTCATATCGTATGAGCCGACTATAGAACTGCACAATTGACAGCGACCGGGCAAGCGCTTTCTATCAATGCTGAATCTTTTAAGCTGCGATGTGTAGCCCGCCTGCCCAGCGCAGCGATTATGGCATACTCTTATCCATAGTCCAGTACGTACTGGACTGTTGACAACTGTTTATTTTAATATTTTCACACCTATCTTCTAATGGGGTACGCAGGGACAATAGAAACTAAGCTGGTATGATCGCGAGACGATCTCCGGCCATCGTAAGCACGGGCCTGCGGAGGGCAAGCATGGGTAGCTCGCCGCCTGATCAAAGATCTTAGGACGAGTTTGTTTTACGTTTAAAGTAGCCGAAACGAGTACGCGCACTGGTTGGTTGGTTCATCGGAATCGGAACGTACGGCGCATCGCGTTCCGTGCGCGCCTCAAAGTGCCATCAGACTGCCACAGATCGGGCCCAATAGGGCTGATGCCGATATGGAGCCGCGGAGGACTTAACGGGTTTCCGGGGCTCCTGTTCGAAGGGCAGAAGTTGGTCGAAGTTTAAGACACTAAAAGTATAAGAGGACGCCTCAATCGGGCGAGAGAAGTCATTGAATGATATGATTATATGTATGATTAGATGGCATGATGGTTTGATTCTACTATCCCTCTCAATTCATATATATACCTACACTTTCACCTATTTATGTAAGTTCGTCAACTGAAGGTACTTTTCATTGACTCTTAATTTAAGTTTGCCAATTTCAAATTACTTTTACTTTTGTTAGGTCGCTAGTGCGACTGTCGAGCTAGGGATATTAAGTTTCGATTTTCAATCGAGTTAAGAATCGAGGCCATTTCGAATGATGTGATTTGAATATTTTTTTTTGTGTTAGATAGTGCATATATCGAGGAAGGCTATAGACTTCCTATGTCCTATAGACCATAAAATATTAAGACATGACCAATAGTAGCCGAGTAGCGAGTGAAACCGCGCGGACGTAGCTAGTAGAATATAATTAGTGAACTGATAAAGTCAGGAGAAGCCGAAGCCTAGTTTCTTTAACTTCCATACAACTATATCATCACAAGGTAATGTGTCGTTCTTTTTTTAAGATTAATTCTCGCAGTGGCAAATATTTATCACGTATTCATCCACGATTGAACTGAATTTTCTTGATAAATTGCCATAAACACCACGTTTGGCAAGCGCTTTGGAGATCGCCACCAATGATCAAATGTCGTTGATTTGAGGATACAACTGCCTATCCTGGGTTGGCTTGTCGCAGTCTTCGAACATACCCGATATGACAAATGGAGAAAGGGAAAAAGTAATTCGCTGTCTGGGGTCCAGTTAAGACATTTTCCCTCTACTCTCCGGTGAATAAAGCCTACAGCTTCAATTAACTAATATCGGGTATTTTTATCCAGAACTCCCACTGCGCACCGCCGAAACACTCCTTAGCAACTAATTCGTGAAACTTGAGCAAGCATATCATATCAACGCAAAAGTTTTTCAAATTGTACGTCTTTCTGGCCCACCTTGTAGTTACTAATATTACAATCAATATGTTTATCGCTGATTTCAATCTGATTTTCATCAGTATACGACGATATTTCTAGATAAAGACCCATCTGACATTTTTTTAAAGAAATAGGCCTAACAAACAGACGCGTCGGATCACCCGACGGTAAGCGATCAACTTAATTTGCCGTTGGACTCCCGCAACACCAGAGAAGTGATAAACGTTTTGCCGGCTTATGATCAATATTATTAAAACCGGTAACTACAGCTCAATCATTTAGTGGTTCGACCTGGAATGATTTCCGGGAGTTTTTAAAAATGGTAATTTTGTAGATCTTGATGTGCTTTTTCCGATTTCCATTTTGCACCGCCGTACGTGCGCCACTCGCGACGCCATCTTGGAAAAATGGTGGCCAAAAACAGTCTTTTGGAATATTTTTTTCTGTGCATTTTTGAAGAAAGGCGATAACTACAAAATTAAAGTACCCACAATTTCCTATAATTTATGTCTCAAAAGCTTTTTCGTTATATAAGTAGTGGGCATCTTTATGAGTATTTTGGGGAAAACATTAATTTCCACACCACGTGAAATCGGCGGATTGTTTTATAGTGTAGTCCTTTATAAACCTAATGCTCATGTGATTGTGATACACACTTTAGGAACTTGCCAAAAATTCCTGCCCTGAGCTGTTTCTGATGATCGCACATAGGAGATTTCGTCTTGGGCAACTATGTCTTTATGTCATACATAGTCGTTATTTTTAAACGAAAATTCTTGTGATGAATTTACAAAAGTGTATTGCAAATAATCTAGGTGAAATTTTGATCAACAACGTCTAGATCGGTACCCATGGGTCCAAAGAAAATTAAAAATAAATCATTCATCACCATTTTGGAAAATGGTGCCTAATGAGTTTTATTACAATATCTCTCTTCCAATACCTTTCGAGAGGATAACGTCTATTACAAAATTAAACTAGACAAAGTTTCATACAATTAATCTATATAAAACTTTTTTATGAAATATAAGTTTTAGCGTACTAGTGCCGCAAAGCAAATACGCTTAAATATGCATTTTGACAAAAAATCACATTTATCGTCATTTTATTGAGCCTCTGACTCCGACTGAGACTACCTTTTAGGGAACAGAATGTAGGTATAGTTTCCCTAAGATCGGAAAGGAGGATCCTCCGACCAGGCGAGGTGATCGTGCCTGGCGGGCTTTCTGCCCAACAGTTGCTCGTTGGGATTTTCTATCCGTGTTAATTTGCATGTATACTTTGTATGTGCGATGTAGGATTTTATGACGTCATCTGTTGACTTGTGACATGTGTCGCCACAGCCTCATTAGCCGAATGGTCGCAAGTGCGACTGCCGGACAAAGAGTCTGGGGTTCGATTCCTTGGTCGGGCAAAGTAATACTGGGTATTTTAAAAAAATCTGCGTAGTGACACGAAGTCTGGAAATGTGCCTGATACATGGCAATATGCTCACCCCCTATTACATGAGACTCAACATAAATAGTGAAAAGTGGGTGCTACATTATACTAGCGGTATTACTACAATATTATTAGTGGTGTTGAGTGCCTTAATGTGCACCTCTGCCTACCCCTTCGGGGGTAAAAGGCGTGATGTTATGTTATTTGAGTAGCTAAATTTAGTAGTTAACGTTCTTCTCCTAAAATGCACAGGAAAGGAATTATTGCAAATTAGATTTGTTTTTGGCCGCCATTTTTTGCAAGATGATGGCGCGAGCGGCGATGATTCGAGATTGCAAAATAGACGTCAAGGTCTACAAAATTGAAAATTCTCAAAACTCACGGAAAAACCTCCCAGGCTTCCCCCATATTTCTGCCTTAACTCGTCGAGTACCGTCATTACAGACACAATTATAGAACAATAGGTTACGGTCACCGGTGACCGCTTGGTGTTTGACAGTTTAATGATCGAACTACTAGAATTTATAGTAGATATTATTTTTTGGACGTAGGATTATGAAGACGCATTTATGGAATTAAGAATGCAATAAAAACACTTACCTCCTGAGGAGTTGCGGTATCTTTGCAGACCAGGATAGCGTTTTCCAGGGCCTTAGCAGCGTGGAAGAACGCGTTGTTCTTCTTGTAGCACTCCGAAGCTTTCAGGTGGCAATCCTTGGAGTTGGCAGCATCTCGAGCAATACGATAGCACTGAGCTGGAACAAAACTTGCTTTCAACAAATTGCTTTCAATTGAATCCCTACACATTACACAATAGGGACATCATCCCTATGGACAGGGTATAAAAATTAAAAATTATTTACGTCCGTCAGTCAGTTAGATAATGAAAAAATATTAGACACGTATTTTATTATTTTGTCGTATAAGAAAACAATCCTTACTATAATAATATTATAAATCGGAAAGTGAGATTGTTTGTTTGTTTGTTCCGCTATCACGCCGTAACTACTAAACCGATTACTTTGAATTTTTGCAGACGTAAAGTTAGAAGTCTGGATTAAATAATAGGCTACTTTTTATCCCAGAAAAAAATTATATTCTCGAGGAAAAACGAAACTATTGGTATAGATGGCGCTGTGTGTATTGGTATATGTCACATAGGCTACTTTTTATCTTTTATGACGTGAGCGAAGCCGCGGGTAAAATACTTATATAAAACGAATCAATGTTTAGGACTGGGAGGTAGTAGCTACGTCCTTTGAGAGTATAAATCGTAAATCAATATACCTATCTTCGAAACTATTCGTTTTTTAAATAAAAATACGTGTCTAATGTTTTTAGATAATCTACCAGACGGACATTAAAATAAAAATTTGTAATCTACCCGATGGGTCTATTTGATTCGCGGATATTCTTCTTTTAACTTAAGTAAAGTAATCAGATTAAGATTGTTTATGACCATGGTGCGGCGTATAACTAACATATAAGTTAAGTGTCGTTATATTCAAACATCAAACAAAATAAATATTTCAACTATTATATTTCAGTCACAATATTTTCAATTATTCAGAATGTACACTAGACCCTGACCTGTTGCCGTCGAGACAATCAAAACTTCAAACAAATCTATTCTCATAGACTGACCTTTTAAAAGGGTATCCGCGAATAAAGTAAAACTTTGTATAATAGATTTATGAGATATAATGTTAAATATTATAATATGATACTGATATTAATGTAAAATATGAATATGAAGGGAGTGGCTTCATGGCTTGGCTAACAATATGATGTACGCAGCGACACGTAGTGGTTGACAAAAGATGGCGGCGTTGTTGGTATAGAGGTAGAAAATGAACTAAATTACTATCTTACTAAATCAATAGTGCTGACATTCGTACACTCCATAGCCTTCGTTGCTTAACTCCCCAGTTTATACCTGCGGAAATTGCTACAAAATTGTCCTTGTTTGATAACTTGGGGGAATCCTTTAAAATGCGCCTAGCTTTTTGAAGAGAAAGACTAGGGAGCACCTCTATGGGGCACCGGGCCGTCTAATAGACCTGCACCGGAGCTCCCACGGAGCAACGCCTATTATGGCACATCCCCAGGGCAAAAAATGCCTTAGAAAATTAAACGAAAGGAAACTTTAGCAGGTCAAGACACGGCTCGCAAATTCTTTTTCTCAGAAATATATTAAAAAAGGTATTGTTTGCAAGCGATGAAGTTCAACAAACTTATGGAACTCATCCCATCTATCATTCATCGCAAATATGTTTGTATATTTGTTGTTATTTATATCACGACCTGCTATGAGATAGATAGGCGTTGGCAGTAAGGATACACTAAATTCGACTGAATATTGTTATGTGCGGTGACTGTATTTTTCTTCCTTTACAACGATGTTCACGAATTGTTCTTATTATAGGTGATTCAACAATCTTGGTACACGTAGATCAAAATGACAATGACTCATTTCAGATGGGATTGAATAATATGTGTTATATAATATTAATCACGATTAAAGACAAATAAGATAAATAGTGAAAAGTGGATTTTACATTGTACAGTGATACTAATGCCGCAACGCCTAAAAGGAGATAGTGGGACGAATTGGACACGTATGAAAATTATTGGCCGCAAAAAGCTTTCCATAGAGAAGAGTAGAAGAAGGAGGGTACAGAGGTCTTTGCCTTGTAGTACGACGATTATGGACTGAAAGTAAATAAATTAAAGGGCTTGTTTCAATACATCGCCTTTTTCGTCAAGATAATCTAAAAAAAAATCGACAATCTATTCCGTCTCTAGTTTTAAAAAACCCAATAAAGAACGACTTTTCTTGACCTTTAATTGGCAAGTCATCAATGACTTACTTCAATCATTTGTATTACCTCACTATCAGTATAAATCATCAGTGAGAACGACTGCTAGTCAATTCGGTAAGAAGTCAATTCCAATTCTAGAAGTGACTCCGGGTGTCGAAGTTCACGCAATGACCTTCGGCTACCGGGTCTGCGGAAGGCTAGCAAGGGTAGCGACCCGACCAGAACCGGACCCGAGCGTACGGCGCGTCGCAATCCTCGCGCGCCCCAAAGGACCATCAGAAAACCACAGATGGGGCCCAGTAGACGTGATAAGGTGGAGGCGGGGCGCGTGAGGCAGCAAAGCGCTGCCTCCTCACAACCCAGCCGTCGCGAAGGACACTCCGGGCGACGGGGATCGCGAGACAACCTCCGGCCACCGTAAGCACTGGCCTGCGGACGGCGAGCATGAAGGTTGATACGGAGCCACGGAAAACTTAACGGATTGCCGGGGTTCCGGCTCGAAAGGCAGGAGTAGGAATGGAGTGGTTTTTAGTCAGTATAAGTCTGACACTCCCTCCCGCCTCATCCTGCCTAGACCAGGAGAAGACATTCGATGATTTTCCCCCCTTAAAAACAACTGACGAATAGGTCCGTCAGCTACCCTAAGTGAGTGGAACCGGTGAAAAAAGTCACGCGGTGTTACACAGGGTTCGGCTCTGGGGCTGGTCCTGTAGAACATCGGCTATGACTGGATGTTGCGCACCGACCTCCCGAACGACTTAGTGTAGTTTGGTACGTCGACGACACGCTGGTGCTTGCGCACGGAAGGTCGCACCAGGCAGCGGACAATTTAATGGCGAGAGCGGTTGCGATAATCGTTGAAAAGATCCGGCAACTGGGACTTGAGATGACATAAATCGATAGGGAGACTATTTTATAGGCTGATGATGATGACACCAGAGAACCTTTAACTAAAGGTAAAATAATGATGATAATGAAACGATTTCTATATGATATTCATACTACATATTATAATAATTTTACATACCTGCTTGGCTGTATTCATCGGCTGCCGAATCGTAGTCCGGCTTCCAACGGAGAAGGGTAGTCTTCAGGCTATTTGAACATAAGCATAAGTTATTATAAGAAGTCATAAATAGAGACATACATTTTCAACTCATAATTGTATGCAACAAACTGACAATGTTAAGGTACTAATAAAAGTAATTAGAACGTTTCCATGAGATCGGTTGACTTTTTGGTAACGAGCTGATAGGTCGTCTAATACCCTTGCCTAACGGTAAGCAACCGCCCATTATTATTATTATTATTTATCTTTGAATTACACAGGTAGTATGTTATAATTTAAGCCCCACAAAACCGTTGCAATGGTTTGACTGTGGGGTCGAGTCACTAGTCACATGGACACTTGCATCATCACAGTTCTAAGAAGATATAGAAGAATCAGGGGTAACAAATTACATTCCATTGTTATCTTCTACTGATATAATTTTTGCATACAATCAAGAGTTGAAATAATAGAAAGAGACAGTAAAATCTAAATACAGGTCAATTATATCTACTTTATCTACACACGTACCATAATATCAACGTCGCAAGACCAATATGAGCAACATAAAACATTCGCCAATGATAACATGAAACCAAGGTTCGCTGGGCATTCTTTGAGCTTCTACACATTAAAAGCAAAGCCACATACAAGACCATGTAAAATACTACATTAAAGTACCTAATTATTATAGTGTTTTAATGTAGGTAAAGTTAGGTTCTGTTTAAATTCCGACTATTATTAGGTATCCTATTGCAATGAGACTAATAGCATAACTGCTTGTTTCGTCGAAGTGATCACGGGCATGACCGCTGAGAATGAGATCTTGGGATACATTCCCAGGTTGACCAAAATAGTATTGGGATTCTTTCGCAGTAATACCCAATGATCCCAATCCGTGAATCCCCAACAATCCTTAAATTTCTAATCCCCTATAGGTCGGTAACGAACTTGTAACGCCTCTGGTGTTTCGGGTGTCCATGGGCGGCACCGAATGCTTACCATCAGGTGATCCGGGTACTCGTTTACGACCATAAAAACAGAACAATGTTCTGGTATTGTGCTATTGCTTTGTGTATGGCAATAAACTCGTCCCCTATAACAGCCCTTTAACTATAACATAACTGGTATAAGTAAGTACCTACTGCATGGTATACGCACCTCTGCCTACCGTTAACGGCTTAAAGGAGTGAAGTTAGGATAAAGCATAACTTGGAACTTGCAATGTTCTATAGCAGAAGGCTTGCCCCTATTACACTTATGTAAAAAATGACATTTATGTTATTAGTCTTAACTAATAACATAAATGTCTGCCCAAGTCTGCGTATTCCTACAAATTAAAAGACACGATAAGGACTGACGCCCTGATAAAGGTAGCAAGGAGTTAATGGTAGCAGTTCGCTTCCAACCACTTGATTTAGAAGTCATTATGAGAGCCCTAAATTCAGTAGTGGAAATATTATAGCCGATATGATGGTGACTAAAAATAAACATTAGATGTCGTATGTAAAAACAAGGTATAAGAACAATTCTCTTTAAACTCTGTAGAAAAATAACTAACTAATGTGATTTATAAAAGATTCCTTTATAAAGGAAAAGGTCACAAGGCCTTGAAATCACTGATATTAAAGACAAAGTATTGAATTTGACTTGTCCACAACTCTATTGAAGATTATGTTACAGTTTGCATTAGACACAATGGGTGGGCATAAAAGAATTTTCCAATTGACGTCACCTGTCGAAGGTGGAGGTGAACTAAACATGGGTAAGTTGTCTTTATTTATAACTAGCTATACGCGCGACTTCGTCCGCGTGGTAAAAGTAGCCTAAGTTACTCCCTAGTACATCAGCTACCTGCCAATCAAAGGCCCGTCAAAATCAGTTCATTTCAGTTAGCCAGAACACAAAAACAGACTGACAGATATACAAAAAAAAATTGTAAAAAATAAAAATGTTATTTTGGTATTTGTATCGATCCTATCGTATGTAAATTGATGCAAAATTAAATATATAATATTATAGTAAAAAGCGGTTATTTTAATACAACAAACAGATCTATGAAACCTATACAAAACATACTTCTGTTAATAACGTTTATTTTGAAAAGTGGGCAAAATAATTTTATGTTATTCGAAAAACTATAACGTCATCATATAATATGGCGATTTTCGAGTAAGAATAATTATTATTTTATTATCCGATTTTCGAAACTCTTAATAAAAGTTGTAAATCTAGGAAGGGCTCGTTCCCTATTACGCAGGGCGCATACATAGATAGGCATAATGTAATGACATTAAATATGTACACCTCTTCTCGGTAGGACAAAGTAATATTGAATAGTTAATCGAATTTTGATATTTTTAGTAGGCTGATACCGGAATTGTAAAACAGTTAAAAATAGGTCTGTTTTATAACATGCTACTAATAACATAACTGGATCAGCGAGTGTCACATGAATTAACTAAAAAGATAAAGATGTAATACTCGTTATTATAATAACTATCGTGCCATTTGTCATTCGGGACATTGCGTAGCTGATTTTTACATTGATGTTACTGCTATCACCTATCCAGTATTCGACTAACGCTCGCATAAATTACGCTAGCAAAAACATGACGTCATCAAAAATAGCTATAGCCAAATGAGTGCTTACATTTTTTTGCCTAATCTTCAATTAATATAAAACTTAATTCGTATAAGAATTGACTAACTCGATGACTACGTACTAAAGAGACAATGGAAACTAGCTTGACGACAGCTTTGCTTATCAACATCTTTCACGGGAGTCGATCTAACTAGTAAAAACCGCATGGAAATCGGTTCATCAGTTTTTGTGTTCATCGCGAACAGAAAGAAAGATTCAAGTTTTTTGTAATAAGAAACACTATGGGTATATTAAAGCGCTACCAGTGTCAAAGACTGGAAATTATTTCAAACCAACCAATATAAAACTACCTTCCATTGGTTTAATTATTTGCCCTACATTCTTGTTAAATAAAACGCGGAAAAGAATTGATAAATAATTCTCTCTACTTGGTTTATTGGTTGATAAGCGCTCGTAGTATTGCTTAGGATGTGGGTCTACATAGGTCCCTAAGGATTCCTCAGCGAAATTTCTAAAAAAAAATATTTAAGTAGGTAGTAGAATTTTTAGGAATTGAAGTTACGACTACGAGATTTATGTGGCAGCAAATTTTACAAAACGGTACATTTTAGTTAGATATAAAAATATCACGTAAATATTAGTTAAACTTATCTCAAGTCTGGCTTGATAATTGAAGAATTAAAACAAAGTCAATAATGTTCATGCTTTAAGAATTTAAGTGTGGGAGAGTCACGCTTCGGCACGAATGGGCCGGCTCGACCGGAGTGATACCACGGCCTCATAGAAAACCGACGTGAAGCAACGCTTGCGGTGTGTTTCGTCGTGTGAGTGAGGTTACCGCAAGCCCAATTACCGTCCCCTTCCCCAATCTCCCCAATCCCTGAATCCCCAACGATCCTCAAACTCCTAATCCCCAAAACACCGGTAACGCACTTGTAACGCCTCTGGTGTTCCAGGTCTCCATGGGCGACGCCGATTGCTTACCATCAGGTGATTCGTCTGCTCGTTTACCGGCTTATGCCATAAAAAAAAAGTTTTCATACCAGAGGGTAGATGTACCAGGAACGATATATTTTTATAAGAATTTGTATGTACCTACAATCATGAAAATAAATGATCCTATTCTAAAACGAGTAATTAAACTTCCCCGCTCATTCCATTCAACTTCGGAAAATACAGTCGCAACTATAAAACTAGTATCACCAATGAACTGACTGTTCTGATAGTCAAATTGTCTGTGGGTATTTCGAAGTTTGTATGACCAACCAATTTGAATGCATTAGTTAACCGCAATTTTCTGTAAAAGTACCCTTAACTCGTTAAATACCGTCATTATAGACACAATTAAAGAACTATAGGTTGCGGTAACCGGTGTCCGCTCGGTGTTTGATAGTTTAAACAGTTTATCATAAACTGATGAAAAATCCTGCCCCAGTCTCCCCGATCCTCGAATGCCCCACAATCCTCAAATTCTCAATTCCCAAAAGGCCGGTAACGCACTTGTAACGCCTCTGGTGTTTCAGGTGTTTATGGGCGGCGCCGATTGCTTAGCATCAGGTGATACGTAAGGTCGTTTACCGGCTTATCCCATAGAAAAATTGTGAAGGTAAAACCAACAAACAAAGTCGTCAGTCTTCGTGTATGTTAACTGTATGTCTCAGTTGAGATTTATTGTGATTACCGTCGATATTAAAAAAAAATGTAATAAGTTTATTAAACTGTCAAACACCAAGCGGTCACCGGTGACCACAACCTATTGTTCTATAATTGTGTCTATAATGACGGTACTCGACGAATTAAACTGTCAAACACCAAGCGGTCACCGGTGACCGCAACCTATTGTTCTATAATTGTGTCAATAAGGACGGTAATCGACGAGTTAAAGCCGACAACCTTCTGTTACAATAATAACCATTTATTGTTATAGTATAGTTTTATTCAATAATAACTACCTACTTACTTATTGTAATTTAGTATTATAAATTATATGTTTGAATTATTGTAATTCTTATGGGAATAAAAAACCTCAAAATGGCTAACGAATTACATTACAATAATACCTAAGTAATATTGTACTCAATAAATTGGTATAAAGAGACAACTATCCAAAGTGTATGTATATGTACAGTAACCCTACATTCCACACAGCACTGCCCACACCTTAACGAAATAAAACTTTATCTATTTCACAGATTGCAGAAGAAGAAACTTTCATTGAGTGAGGTACTATATCAGTATGGAATTGTGTTTATATGCAAATTAGTTATGTAATACATAGTATGAATGTACCATAAAATAATCTGTGAACACCTACCCACCTACAAAATCAAACTAATACTCTACAAAAATAAATATTTGACACTAAAAATATTAAAAAGCAACTAACATGCACTAAAATATGATCAAAAGATGTGTCATGACAATGAGAATGACAAAGAACACAGAGTAATGCATCTGAACAGCGAATGACAATGAAAAATGAATTTTAAACTTCATCATTTAAAGATCAATTTTTTTTAAAGTTCAGCACATTATTTGTGTTTCATACATTATCTACATAATATACCAACATATGAATAATAATTATTATTTTACAAATAAATTCTATGTATATATCAAAAGAACTATCTATTAGGAGGTAATAGATATAAAAGGGTACAATTCTACCTTTACTAGTCGTAATTTTAGTAGAATTTGAATATTTTTGATTCCTTTACATACTTATGGATACCAACGGGTTATGAGATGACTGTGAAATGTTCCTTAAATGTGTGTGTGTGATTATGTATTCATGGGAGGCACACACAAAAGCTCCACACACATGAACTGCTTACCTATATGATGTGAAACAGATAAAAAATAAAAATGTACATAGAGGTTAGATGTAAAAAGATTATAATTAGAAAAAGTTTGAAACCCGATGTTACTTCTCGTTTCATAAAGATATCATGGTTTTTGTTTTCAAGTTCTTTTTTTTATTTTTATAATGAGAAATTTAAAACTGGCCTTATATGAAAATTTAATGAGAATTATTTCATATGTATTAAAAGATTTCAATTAGAAAAGGATCAATTTTTTTTTGAACTACCCCCATAAATCCATTTTCTGATTTATGAATTTCTTTGTTCTCCTTTACAAACATCTTACCCTTTTATTTGTAAGAGCTATTAGTTCAGTATTTAAGGTTTTAAAAAGCCAATGTGTATTAAAAAAATAAATTTGAAAGTTATAATAATTATTTCCTAATTGGAAATGAAAATCTTTCAGAAAGACCTTTTAAAATGTAAAAACTAAAAATTGAAAATTAAGATAGACTGATTTTTATTTGATTTAGTCTTCATGATAACAAAATAATTAAAAACCAATATAAAAAGTAATGACAGAAATGCAGTTTTCAAAGTAAGTTTCTAATGCTAAACAAGCAATTAGTTTGTGACGAGATTCGCTCATGATTTAGCTGTGCGATTATTTTATTCTATGACACAACTTTATATTATTTAGAAAACAAGAGCACACTCAAAAGTGATTAACCCACAACATTAAAAATATTAACTTAATTACTGTACACTTACAATTTCTCTGCAGCTTTACAGTGTTCTCTGGCTTCAAACACTTTCACAGACATTTTGGGGGAGCTTTAAGATTTTTTTTTCAAAGCAATTAAATTGAAAAGTTGTATTATGCACTCAGATAGTGGAAAATCAATAGAGCAGAGCTGCAGCAAACTCACGCTACCATCTTTATAAACTATTTGACAATGAATGAATGAATAATCCGACGTCAACATGACGTTGAGTTTGACATGACAGCCATGACAGTATTCCCAGTGTAGCCACTTTATAAGCAAAATTGGTTACAATTCGCGCGTTTTCTACCATTTTTTCAAATTGTGGCGGGTTAATTCGGAAAACGTATTTATTATTTCTTACAATAATTAATGGTACTATAATCAATTACTGTTTTATCCATGATTGAGGGTGAAATAATATATCACTGAGTTTTATTTACCCATAATATTGTACATAGAGATGCATTCAAAATATAATCAAAGTGTTTTGAAAATAAAGGCAAATTTGATTTCTCTTAACATTAACTGTTGTTGTGTACTAAATAAGTAAACGTAATATGTGTTATGAGTAACTTAACGTAAAATGAATATTATTTTGTAACTCTGAATTTAGTCTGAACCCATTCTGAACCAAATGATGTTTCGTGTGGTATGTGACATAGTTGTAAACTGCAAAACCACTAGATGGCGTTACGATACCTAGTCACAAAGAGTTATACTTTAAAACCACTAGGTGGCAACAATGACTTGGACATAAATCTACGTAAATTTTGTATCATTGTAATATTATTATTTGCAAATATTTTTTTTTACATAGCAATCGTAATATTATTTGCCTAATTTATGTTCAATTAATTTCGCCCTTCATTTGAAATTTCTCCTGTGTTGTGGGTTCATTTCCATTCACATTATTTTACATCTCACTTAGAGCTGGTAAGGAACAATAAGTTGTGGATGTGGATCACACAAAAAATTGTTTCGTGTGGAACTCAAACTCACTTCAACCAATTGCGTAGCCCAGCCACAGCGTCAACCGTGCAGCTCTACCGCTCTGGTAGAATGTTTGTTACATTTTAATTAGGTACCTATGTAGTTTTTTGTAGGTACAATGCACCTAAATAAAGTCCATAGCTATATTTTGCATTGCTTGGAACGTTGCACGCCCAAACGCCCATATTGTATTTACTTGGTTGCATCTCATTATCCAAAGAATTAAAATTTTACAAAATCGTTTGTTGAACAGTACCTACCTACACGCAACGGTACACTTTGGTAATTGTGTATTCTTTAAAGAGTTTGGGCAAGCTTGGGGAGCATTCAAAGGACTTCCCGGTAATTTTCCGTACTCTGTAGGACGGAAAATTACTAAACAGTGTAACCACCTAATGGTTATGAAATTGAAATGGTTACTCGGAACTGCGAAACGTATTGTAAACAAAAAAAAGGTATCTAATACATAACCTCATGGGGGTCCGTCGCCCGTCTCCCATGGGGGTAGGCAGAGACTATGGAAAGCCAATTGCTATAGGTAGATAATTCAATATAATTATGTACGTAGGTAATAGATAATCATGATTTTATTTCTCCTCCTTTAATCCTTTCCTTCCTCGGTTTATACCTAGGTAGGTAAGTAGATACTTAATATTATTAATGCAAATCACGTTCTTGTGTCTGTTTACTTCAATATCTGTTTAATCCAAAAATCTCAGTAATACATTGGTCAACCTGAAAAACTTTGCCATCACGCGTACGACAATCCAACCTACGACGCAGTTAAATTACTAATACGTAGATACCTACCTACTTTGTGAAGTAGAAAAGCGCATAAAACTTTCCGTGGTAATATTTAGATAAATTACTACAAAATAGTATCACAACTATCGTAGCCGACGGACAGGCATGCGCCGTTTATGTTTAGATCCGCCGCAGACGCGTTAATAAGCGCAAAAAGTAGGTACCTTACTCGGTTCAGGGCTGGCATGAACGTGCTTAGGTACTCTTATTATAAAAAAAAACTACACAAGTAATGTAGCTATTGTACCTTCTGGAGGATAATTATTATTAATTGAACTAAAACACACACAAATAAGTAAACGCCTTTTCTTGGCCGAAGGAATAATATAAATAATGGTCATTTTCGTTTTCAGCACAGTTTTATAAGTGACACTCAATATCATTCTGCTATTTTCCAACCTAGTGACACCTAACAGTACAATAAAGGGGTTAGTTTAGGTATCCACACCCACGCTAAGTAACTCTTAGTTAAGACATGGGTCAGTGGTGATTGGTGAAAACAGCCATAAGAGTCCTATGTATAATGGGGTGGCCAAACACTAAAATTATTACAATTAAAAGTACCTAATTTACTTTACCTATTATTTTTTACTATCATCAGTTAAATAAATATTAATTTCATGTATCATAATATCATAATAAGCAGTACTTCACATAAAAATTACATCCTTAATTGTTACTTCAATACACAATAGCAATGCAGAGTATGTGTCTTGTAAAACATTCTGAAAACCCTGAAAATAACTGCGGTAGTTAAAACGAGTAAATGAAGCGATGTTTATAAACGCACTGTGTAGGTGGAATGATATTCGCATTGTGCGCGATCGTACACAAACTTAATGTGAGATTCTGTAACTGATTGTTCGGAGTTGTACGCCAAGTTATCTCACGAGAAATGCAAGCTGCTAATTGTCTTTTTATCATTGCATTAAATATTATATTCCCCGTAAAACATCATTTTGTAAAATCTTCACACCAACTTTTCTCTACAGGGCATAGGCAAAGGTACCTATAACCTATGTTTTGGAGTCTGTGTACCTAATTAATGCAGCGATTCTGTAGGTACTCTATTAGGCACCATTTTACTCTAAAGGAACATCATTCCAGACATGCACCAGATATTTTAGGATTTCTCAAGGCTTGAAGGATTTTTCAATTTTGCATCACAATATAAAGAAAAAATACAAATGATATCATGACAAGTGGTATCTTAATGTTTTGTGTACAAAACAGAAGCAGGCAAACGTAACCCATCCTTTTTCAACAACAATAAATGAAAGAGAAACCCTCTCACTATCGTTCCTTTCAAGCATAACTCCCGCTAAGTATAAAAAAACACATGGCTTACCGTACTCCAACTACAGTTACCTGCAGGTGTGCAAAACGGCGCGTGGTAGAAAATGGTAATATTTTTTTTATTTAATAATAGTAACACTGAGGAGATTGCGCACCCCATTTTGAATTTGGAATTTTGTCTATGTGGCCCCCGCCGCGTAAACGAAGGGACAGTATTGAAAAATATTCGTATAACGGCTTTTTATTGAATTTGCTCCTTCAAGATCCTGTTGCCCTTGATAATTCTATAGGTTTCTTTGCAAAACTAGATTTTGTATCTGAATGGTGGATCCTAACTGCAGCTTGTCTTGCAACTTTCACCGTTGTATTTCATTGTTTGGATATTATTCGCTCAAGTGGAGAATAAAAGAAGCGGTTCAATGCGACGAGTTATCTTTCGGAAGATACGAACCAACTGGCGGATCAACAATTTCTTATTTGCCCGAGTTCAAGCGCCTACTTACCTAGCTACATAAACTGGTGTTGTTACCTACTCATAAAATAAACTTACTTAACATCAACATTCATCTTATTTCCCAGAGGGGTAGATTAACCATTGCGATATGTAACATAATGTACAATTGTACACGTTTTATAAATATGTAGTCTCTATTAAGTAAAAGGTACCTAACTAATATTCTCCCCGACCTGCAGCTGTAGCCAAATGCCATTTAGTGTTTGTCTACATGTAGAATAGAAAACCAAATGATATTTATGGAATTGACGTAAATTTTGACACTAGTCAGTGTTATCCCCATACATTTTCATTTCTACCCTCTCTCTGTAGAAAAGTGGCGTTTGGTTAAAGGCCCTGAGAATATAGATCTTTCCTAGAACTCACGGCACAGCAGCCAGTTGCCCAGCCTCTGCATTGTGTCGATGTTAATATGATAAACAACAATATCAATGTAGTAAGGCACCTTTTTTTCGTCTTTTTTTCTTCTTTACTTACACTACCCGACACTAGTATTCTGTCCTGTGTTTTCTTAATTTTTTTTTTTTTCACTTTTTCACAATTTTTTTTCACTTTTTCACAATTTTCTTTAATTTTCACTTACATAACATAACATCACGCCTTTTACCCCCGAGGGATAGGCATAGGCGCACATTTCGGCACTTAATGCCCCTGTACAGTGTAACAAGTGTGGAAGAGCCATGCTTCGGCACGAATGGGCCGGCTCGATCGGAGTGATACCACGGCCTCACAGAAAACCGACGTGAAGCAACGCTTGCGTTGTATTTCGTCGTGTGAGTGAGGTTGCCGGAGGCCCAATTATACCCTCCCCTTCCCCAATCTCCCCAATCCCTGAATCCCCAACGATCCTAAAACTCCTAATCTCAAAAAAGCCGATAACGCTCTTGTAACGCCTCTGGTGTTCCAGGTGTCCATGGGCGACGCCGATTGCTTACCATCAGCTGATCAGTCTGCTCGTTTACCGGCTTAAGCCATAAAAAAACACTGGGCACAATTCCAGACTCCATGCTACTATAAAGTTTTTTTCACTGAAAAAATCAGTCGCATGTGCGACTACTTAGCCAACGAGGCAGTCAAGTTTCACATACACAACAACAACAATTTGTGGATCACACAAAGAGTGGCTCCGTGCCGGAATGGAACCCGCGATTCATTGCACGGCAGCGCCAAACGCGCAGGCAAGACGTAGCTATAGAAATACGCTGACGAAACGAATATCGAAAAACATAAACATCACATCTCTATTAGTATGTATAGCAAAAGCCGCCATATTCCTTTTCTCAGACACCAAATAGACAGAAGCTTATCAATTGATTACATAGCATAATACTATGTAGTACAAATAAATAACTGTTTGCATTAACAACATTGACAAGATATGGACACCATCATTATGTGATTGTGCTACTAACTATTACGTAGGCCAGAGATGGGAAGCCATTGGCACGCTATCGATAGAACACACAGATATATTAAAATACTAGCTGACCCGGCAAACTTCGTACCGCCTAAAAGTTTTTTCTCACCTTTTAAACCTTCCCTAGACTTCCACGAACCTATCAAGACCAAAATTAGC